CAACAATAACAAACCTCTGGCCCAAGCAACAACAACAAAACCTACTGGCCAAAGGTGTCAGTCCCATTTTGATTTGTTTGATTGAGTAACTAAATTACCTATATCATTTCTTTAACTCTGAGCACACTCCGTGCTGCACCACCACGGCGGTGGGGTAGAGGTGAGTGCACCTGCTAACCAATCAAGTGGTTTGGATTTAAACCTCCAGCAATATCAATGTCTTTTGGATGGCCCTAATATCCTGTAACTGGTTCAAGATAAACTCCTTTTCAGAGCCCTAGTGGACAGGAAAAGTGTGTCTAGCCTAGATGAGTCCTACCTCCCGAGACTGGTTCAAGGCAAACTCCCTGCCAGAGCCTCAGTAGACAGGAAAATATTACCATCACTAGTGCTTATCGCTGATGTACTGGTGGAGCCAACCAAAGAAGTCGTGAACTCTGACTTTATCTCCCAAGCCTGTTGTAATAGGCAGGTAGGTGGTTGTATGGCTGGCTCCAGACAACTACAGCTGCCACCAAACAAGCCTTCAGACAGACCATCTTGGCTGAGCTGGCTGAAGCAGGTCTACGCTTCATTTGTGGAAACATCAGACAGACAAGGAGACTACCCGGCTGAGCCCCAGACCACTCTGCTGGCAAGCCCTTGCCCAATTACTATAGCACCACAACCCCAGAAGATACACAAAGAGCAAAATAACACTATAATACCAATCGTGCATAGAATGATCAATAAACTGGCCCATGTGACCACAAGCTCATGCATGAAGAACATTCAATAAAAACAATAAATGCATAGAGGAAACAGATGTGAAAACATATGAGATATTTACAGTACAGTATACAAGACAATGCTGAAGGCAGAACTCAGGGACCAGGTGGGATCAGGAGAAGGCAATACAAGCAGGCACTGTTGAGTGGAATGATGAGAGTCAACTGTGAAACATGACAACAAACACATCTATTTACATCATCCTGGTTGTACCCAGTTTACTACACTGGATTTGGTTCTGTCATGAGCTGTGGGTGGCCAATCTTCTGTCCCAATCAGTTTGTTCATCATTACACTTCTTCTTCTTAGCGTTCACTGGCTGTAAATGCTGTTTGAAAGATCTGGTTGTTTGTCCACTTTTTAACTTTAGTCTTGTTCCGGAAATTCAATATATTTCATATACATTTGTCTTAGAGGGCTGGCTTACTTGTATGCAGACTGCTGGTTACTTGCTTCTCATGCAGACACGCTCCATCTTCAAAACAAAAATCCTTAAGTAGTCGCCTTTGGCCACTGAGTTAACCGTATGTGTCAATTCCTCCCCACCAAAAAAATGGTAGACACATTCCGTTTCTGGGGACAGCTTTTATCGAGTTTGCTCTCTAGACAGTTGCAGTCCCCTTCTGATGAGATTCTGTCTTCCTGAGTGGGTCGCCGCGATCAAAACATTGCGAAGGCAGCGTGGTCGAGGCTGCTAAAACAATCGTCATTATCCCGCCCCACATAGCGCAACTACAATACACGCTGCTCCTACGAAAAACACATAGTATCCTGCGTTGGAAATGCGTTCAAAATAGCAGTCCATCTTTAGGAAACGGAGCAATCCGAGAAAATTGACAGCCAGCAAAAATAAACACAGCTGCTATTCGCCATTTTGAAAACGGCAAGTAGTCGCCTTTAACGTCAAGCTTGTCGGGGAGGCTGTGACCTCCCCCAAAATGTCCCCCAGCCAGTCAACCCATTTAAATTTTATGTAGTTGTTTATGCACATGTTCCTCAGCTGTTGTATACTGTCTTATGGAGCTGTTTATGCACATGTTCCTCAGCTGTTGTGCTGTCTTATGGAGCTGTTTATGCACATGTTCCTCAGCTGTTGTACTGTCTTATGGAGCTGTTTATACACATGTTCCTCAGCTGTTGTACTGTCTTATGTAGCTGTTTATGCACATATTCCTTAGCTGTTGTACTGTCTTATGTAGCTGTTTATGCACATATTCCTCAGCTGTTGTGCTGTCTTATGTAGCTGTTTATGCACATATTCCTCAGCTGTTGTACTGTCCTATGGAGCTGTTTATGCACATGTTCCTCAGCTGTTGTACTGTCCTATAAAGCTGTTTATGCTCATGTTCCTCAGCTGTTGTGCTGTCTTATAAAGCTGTTTATGCACATAATCCCCAGCTGTTGTAATGTCTTATGTAGCTGTTTATGCACATATTCCTTAGCTGTTGTACTGTCTTATGTAGCTGTTTATGCACATATTCCTTAGCTGTTGTACTGTCTTATGTAGCTGTTTATGCACATATCCTCAGCTGTTGTACTGTCTTACAAAGCTGTTTATGCACATATTCCTTAGCTGTTGTACTGTCTTATGAAGCTGTTTATGCACATATTCCTCAGCTGTTGTACTGTCTAATGAAGCTGTTTATGCGCATATTCCTCAGCTGTTGTACTGTCTTATGTAGCTGTTTATGCACACATTCCTCAGCTGTTGAGTTGTCCCTTATACAGCATACATTTATTTACTTATTACAAATCACAACTCAAGAACAATGAGATACAAAATCTCCAGGACCCAGACTGCATACTTATTATATGAATAAATCTTTCTATAAAATACTTGTTGCATATATCAACATCTGTGAATAGTGGCTGCATCTGCAGTCCACAATCTTGAAAACAAAGAATGCAACTGGATATAAAGATTCACAAGAAATGACAGATTGCATATATAAAACTGAATACCAAAATACAAATCTACGTTTACAAATTTATGAAAAGCAGTTCATGTACCTTGAGAATCACAATTGAAAGAATTTCCTGTGATATTCACACTAACATGTGTTTCTGATGACTTTCTCGTTCCATGTCAACAGCAAAATAAATACCAGATGTGAAACAGATGGGTTAACTCCTTAAATAAATGAATGATACATGAGACTAGCAGAGCAACAGTCAATTGACAGTAAGAAAACAGCACTGAGGCAGTCAACTGCACAGTGAGAAAACAGCACTGAGGTAGTCAACTGACAGTGAGAAAACATCACTGAGGCAGTCAACTGCACAATGAGAAAACAGCACTGAGGCAGTCAACTGCACAATGAGAAAACAGCACTGAGGCAGTCAACTGCACAGTGAGAAAACAGCACTGAGGCAATCAACTGACAGTGAGAAAACAGCACTGAGGCAGTCAACTGACAGTGAGAAAACAGCACTGAGGCAGTCAACTGCACAGTAAGAAAATAGCACTGAGGCAGTCAACTGCACAGTGAGAAAACAGCACTGAGGCAGTCAACTGACAGTGAGAAGACAGCAAGCACTAAAGCAGTCAGTGAAACAGATGGGTTAACTCCTTAAATAAATGAATGATACATGAGACTAGCAGAGCAACAGTCAATTGACAGTAAGAAAACAGCACTGAGGCAGTCAACTGCACAGTGAGAAAACAGCACTGAGGTAGTCAACTGCACAATGAGAAAACAGCACTGAGGCAGTCAACTGACAGTGAGAAAACAGCACTGAGGCAGTCAACTGACAGTGAGAAAACAGCACTGAGGCAGTCAACTGACAGTGAGAAAACAGCACTGAGGCAGTCAACTGCACAGTAAGAAAATAGCACTGAGGCAGTCAACTGCACAGTGAGAAAACAGCACTGAGGCAGTCAACTGACAGTGAGAAGACAGCAAGCACTAAAGCAGTCAACTGACAGTGAGAAGACAGCACTAAAGCAGTCAACTCACAGTGAGAAGACAGCACTGAAGCAGTCAACTGACAGTGAGAAGACAGCACTAAAGCAGTCAACTGACAGTGAGAAGACAGCACTGAAGCAGTCAACTGACAGTGAGAAGACAGCACTGAAGCAGTCAACTGACAGTGAGAAGACAGCAAGCACTAAAGCAGCCAACTGACAGTGAGAAGACAGCAAGCACTAAAGCAGTCAACTGACAGTGAGAAGACAGCAAGCACTAAAGCAGTCAACTGACAGTGAGAAGACAGCAAGCACTAAAGCAGTCAACTGACAGTGAGAAGACAGCAAGCACTAAAGCAGTCAACTGACAGTGAGAAGACAGCAAGCACTAAAGCAGTCAACTCACAGTGAGAAGACAGCACTGAAGCAGTCAACTGACAGTGAGAAGACAGCAAGCACTAAAGCAGTCAACTGACAGTGAGAAGACAGCAAGCACTAAAGCAGTCAACTGACAGTGAGAAGACAGCAAGCACTAAAGCAGTCAACTCACAGTGAGAAGACAGCAAGCACTAAAGCAGTCAACTGACAGTGAGAAGACAGCAAGCACAGAAGCAGTCAACTGACAGTGAGAAGACAGCAAGCACAGAAGCAGTCAACTGACAGTGAGAAGAAGGCCCATGTGCTATGGCAGTAAATTAAGAGCAACAGACAAAATATAGAAAACAAAGACCAACAAAATAAAGGTACAAGACACAATAAAAAGACCTTAACATAACCAACACCCCAGAAGCCGGTTAAATCAGTTTAAATCTTTGCTCTTTTTTTTCTCTGTCTAATGACCTAAAAGAATCAACACATAGATCAAGATATATACAATGTTGCATAAATTTAACAATCAACAGACACTGGTTCAACAAGAGTTCCTATGCTAATTTTTACATTATTAAAACAAGAAATATGTACAAGCATTTTTGTCACAGGCTGAAGGTTTCAGATTTTAACACAAGGTCGTTTCCAAGACCATTTTGACACTTTTTATTTTGTCTGATGTGAAAATCGCATTATTTCATTTTTTTTTTTTAAATATATTTTTTTCCAGTGAGAATAAGATTTCGATTCAAATATTATTTCCATGTCTTTGTGTAAAAGAATGATATTTAAATTCAAATATTACTTCCATGTCTGTATGTAAGCAGAATGAGATTTTCACTTTCACTTTTTTTGTAAACAGTATAAAAAAAAATTTTACAATCACATTTTCTGAATGCTTCTTTCTGTATTGTTAGTGAGTACAAGTATATCTAAATGTTTTCTGGCTTCTTGAAGTTTATTTCTGCCGCAGCAAGAAGTACAGTCGAGGGATCTGCCCTCTGCTAAGATCTGTTCTGTTTCTTTTGACTTTGGCATTGCTAAACGTGAACAAGACCGGTCCATGCTGGACCAGAGTCTGACCGCTGGCCCCCATGTGTGACTCAGGCCCTTTGATGTAGACCTCCAGGGTGTAGCAATAGTCACGGTCAACCTTGACAGGTCGCTCAAACATGACTGGCAAGATGACGCCGGCCCCTTTGATGTGAATGGTCTCCATGACGACCTCCTTCTTCTTGCGATAGAGAATGGTGTCCACCTGGTATTTGCCCTCTCCCTGCTTCTTGGGGCCGTAAATGCTGAAACCATACAGGTAGAGGTTGCGGTCAACCGTGAAGGAGATTGCATCTGGATGAGTGGCATCGTTTATGTCTGATTTGTACAGTTCTTGCAGTCGGGTGACCTGAAAGACAATAAACAACATTTTGTCATGTATGGCAGCCACATATTTTTCTCAGCTTACGGTGTGTGTCTGACACGACAGAAACTTCATCGACTGCTGGTCACTCAAATATGGGCAAAACGCAACTCCACAGGGTGACAATGACTCAGAAGGCAGCCCTTCACTTTGACTCCCGCTCTCAACCAACTTACAACAAACCCTTTGAAGACATCTTTTTTCTTTTTCTTGATGTTCACCGGCTGTAAACTCTGGAACGAAGGTCCAGGTTGTTCATCCACCCTGGAAATTTGTTCTTGGTCCAGCACTTGAGCATTGCATGCAGATTTGTTGTACAGATCTGGCTTATATGTGTGCAGACTGTTAGTTCCTTGCCTCTCAGGCACATGCAGTCTGACTGTGAGGGGAACATGGAGCCGTCTCTGCTGGCCAGGCCCACCAGTAGGGAACCTACAGAGTTGTGGACAGGTCTTGCACAGCACCTGGTGTTGGGGCCCCACTATGCTGAGTTGAGTCAAGAATTGATATCACAGCACTCGGGTCATTCCCAAGCATGCTTCGTCCTCATCTTCAGCAGCCAGCAGAGTTCCAATGCTGACGGTACTGGTCGCAATCTGGTTAAATGTTCATCTTGCCTTTTCTATGAGTGTAGTGAGCCGGCCAGACCCTTTGGTTACACCCAGGTGCCTCATTCTCTCCAGGCCATAATAATCTTCTTTCTCTAATGATTCCATAGCTTGTCCCCAAAGGGCCTTGACCACATCTGCCTTGTCATGTATCAATTCGCCACCCGTGGTGTAGATCCAACCAATCTGTCTGTTCAATACCCACTACGCCAGCATGGCCTGGAGAGAAAAAAATCCAAAGTATGCTCACTGCCCGAGACCTTTCCAGTGGCCCCACTATGTGTGGTGCAGCACCTCTACACCCAGTTACAGGATGAGGCAGCCAGTCTCACATCAACCATCTCACAACATATGTTGAGTTACAGTGTTTGTATTCAATGCTTCCCCCAGTCTGACACAACATATGTTGAGTTACGGTGTTTGTATTCAATGCTTCCCCCAGTCTGACACAACATATGTTGAGTTACGGTGTTTGTATTCAATGCTTCCCCCAGTCTGACACAACATATGTTGAGTTACGGTGTTTGTATTCAATGCTTCCCCCAGTCTGACACAACATATGTTGAGTTACGGTGTTTGTATTCAATGCTTCCCCCAGTCTGACACAACATATGTTGAGTTACGGTGTTTGTATTCAATGCTTCCCCCAGTCTGACACAACATATGTTGAGTTAGTGTTTGTATTCAATTCTTCCCCAGTCTGACACAACATATGTTGAGTTACAGTGTTTGTATTCAATGCTTCCCCCAGTCTGACACAACATATGTTGAGTTACGGTGTTTGTATTCAATGCTTCCCCCAGTCTGACACAACATATGTTGAGTTACGGTGTTTGTATTCAATGCTTCCCCCAGTCTGACACAACATATGTTGAGTTACGGTGTTTGTATTCAATGCTTCCCCCAGTCTGACACAACATATGTTGAGTTAGTGTTTGTATTCAATTCTTCCCCCAGTCTGACACAACATATGTTGAGTTACAGTGTTTGTATTCAATGCTTCCCCCAGTCTGACACAACATATGTTGAGTTACGGTGTTTGTATTCAATGCTTCCCCCAGTCTGACACAAAAAAACAGTCTTAACTCACAGATGCTAACTCTCTGGCTGACCTAAGGTTATGACTGCTGCCCCCATCCATACCCCAATGGTATGGTAACCACTTGTGTTAGTACAAGACAGACATTTACAAACGTACCTGCTCAACATCTGCCCACATGTTTGTACTGGGAAGTCGTCTGTAGGTGTGAACCGACGACCTCGACCTCAGGCTTGATACAGAGGAGATGGTGGACATGCCATCAATGTCGTCCGTTTTTGACGTCATGATTTCCGGTGGCAGTGCTTCTGTTGGCTCCTCACGATCTTCAAATAAATTCCTTGAGGTGACACTATCCATTACATACCTAGGAAAACATTTCATAAAGGTCAGCTCATAGTAAAAACTGACCAGGTCAACTAATTAGGACTTCTGTTTGTAATGTCCCAATACAATCAGTAAACAAGCCACTGCCGCTGACCTTCATATCACCTCAGCCTGTGACAGTTATTGACAAGTTCTCCTTGCTGCCACCTTCTTCTGTCTTCTCTCTGTTGATGTTCTGATGATTGGGTTGTATTGTCTCTTTGGTAAATAAGACCCATCCAAATTCTGTGACTTGTGAAATCTTCAAGAGGCTGAACTGACTACCATCATCTAGCTTCCTTTGCTGACTGACAGAGCGCATGCGCGTGTGCGGGGGGATAGTGAACAAGTCACAATGAAAACTGCAAGAACGTGGGGGGGGGGGGGGGGGGGGGGGGGGCGCCTAGAGATTATAAGGAAAAGTGCTAAACATAACATAAAATCTGACTAGAAAGCTCAACGGAGGGAACAGAAAGGACATACACAAATGCAACTATCACAGATGTGTTTGTGTGCGTCTTTTGTATTTCCTCCGTTGAGCTTTCTGGTCACACTTTATGTTATACTTAGTACCAGTAGTCAAAGTCTGACTGCAGTCACCGGCTATTTGTCTCATCACTAGAGATTATGATCATTGACCTGTATTCCTATTGGTCTGTTGACTGCTGTTTGTCTTGTATCTTCCAACATAGCTATGAAATCAAATACAATATGTATTTCCTCCTCAGCCACTCACTTTTCCATAGAGCAGACTCGTAATCAACTCATGCCAAGCCTTTAGCTGCTGATCATTTGGCTTTTGCAGGTAATGTTTTCTACTAGAAAAGCAGCTCAATCAGATATTAACCCTTCTTAGTCACATTTTATGCGTGTCTGGTGTGTTAGAGTTCTCTGTTTCCACTGTAGGCCCTGGACACACACACACACATATATACATACTACACAACATTCACAGAAAGGTCAGGCAGGAGGACAACACAGCTATTCACTGAAATACATCAGGGAACAGACAACACAAACAAAGAACACTTTACTCATCGCCAATATTACTGTAGGACACAGAAATCAGCTTTACAGAGGATTTTTCCACGACATGGTCCCGATCTAATCCCCCTGGTTGATAGGCTGGCTCAATCAGAATAGAGTACAGCCCTAATCAGGGTGTTCACATTTGCCAGCCTATATCTTCTCTAGTGTGATGTGGTCAATGCTTGACTGTCCTGACATGGACAACCCTATCAGTTGCTACATTATCATATACCTAGCTCTTGGAGTCATTGGAAGACATAAGCCATCCTTCTACATGGAAGTCAAGCTACATCAGAAGTCACTCCATTCTTCACGTATCCTAAATCAGGCAGATGCTCCTTTAACTCCCTCTCTATTTGTTACCTCCTCTGCCCCATTTTGTGATAATTTTAACTCCTTCAAAGAAACTTTCGGTGTTAAAACAACAATATTTGGAACAGAGAATGTCAAAGAGCCCTGAGAGAAAACAAACCAGCATGCTGTGCTAAACCTACCGGTGGCTGACTGAGTCATCACGATATACATAAAGACAGTCCTGGAGAGAGTCCATGATGTTTTCTTCGGTCACCTCCTGCTTCTTCTCCTCACAGAAGTTGATTGCCCATTTGTCCACTACTTCCTTCTTCAAGGATTCATCGACAGTAACACCTGGTAAGGTCAACACCTGCAGAAATCAGAATGTCAATTGCTGTAAATATTGGGACGTATTTCTAGAGACATAAGGGTCACTGTGTGGGTTCCAGGCCCCATCAACTTTATTAACGATGAACCCACCTCAATGCAGCCCCAAGTTCCACACTCAAGCCAATGTCTAAAGTTTCTAGCAAACCTGACAATAGTCCAACATACCTCGATGCAAACCAAGTTCCACACATAAGACAATGATTGAAGTTTCTAGCAAACCTGACAATAGACCAACCTAACTCGATGTAACCCCAAGTTCCACACATAAGCCAACGATTGAAGTTTCTAGCAACCTGACAATAGTTCAACCTACCTCGATGCAGCCCCAAGTTCCACACATAAGCCAATGATTGAAGTTTCTAGCAAACCTGACAATAGTTCAACCTACCTCGATGTAACCCCAAGTTCCACACATAAGCCAACGATTGAAGTTTCTAGCAACCTGACAATAGTTCAACCTACCTCGATGCAGCCCCAAGTTCCACACATAAGCCAATGATTGAAGTTTCTAGCAACCTGACAATAGTTCAACCTACCTCGATGTAACCCCAAGTTCCACACATAAGCCAATGATTGAAGTTTCTAGCAACCTGACAATAGTTCAACCTACCTCGATGCAGCCCCAAGTTCCACACATAAGCCAATGATTGAAGTTTCTAGCAACCTGACAATAGTTCAACCTACCTCGATGCAGCCCCAAGTTCCACACATAAGCCAATGATTGAAGTTTCTAGCAACCTGACAATAGTTCAACCTACCTCAATGCAAACCAAGTTCCACACATAAGCCAACGACAGAAGTTTCTAGCAACCTCACAAAAGCACAACCTACCTCGTTGAGAAGCTCCCTGGTCAATATATCCATGCCTCGGGTTTTGATGACATCATTGTGGTTTTTCCTGATAAACGACAGGATGATCTTCTCCTGCTCCGAGAAGCCATACTTCCTGGCCTCAACCAGCAGGTAGCAAGCATTGTTCACCTGCGGAGGGGAAATGTAGGTCAAACAAAACATGTTATTCGTTAACAAATGATTATCCGTTATTTGTTTTTCCCCTTATATGTGTACTGTACTCGCTCTGCTCTGGCCTCTCCCCTCTGATAAGCAAATGGAGAGATGATATATTTACTGGCTGGAGTCAGCTTCTGACAATACATCTTCTTTGTCAGCATTCATCCAAAGATGTAAACACGTTTTACCCACTTACAACATGGTTGCGATATTTGCACCTTTCAGCCGACACATCCAGCTTCTGCAGTCATTTGTTGTCTGGGTTAACCCGTTATATAGAAGTGACATTCTGAAGTTATATACAAACCCTTTCATCAGAGACTTCAGTCCTAGGCTATACCTGAAGACGATGACAGCATAGGCAGATGACTTAGGTCAGAAGTCAATAGCACAGATCAGTCGGAGGTACCTCCCTAGTTAATGTGGTACTTAATGGAAGTAAACATCATTTACACAGTTAAACTCCATGCATGGAGACTAAGGAATGTTGACATGGGATTGGCTAACGATTGCCACAGAAAACTCTAGTTACAATACACAAACAGCCCAGAACGTGCTGACAGGAACAGAAGAATAACTCAGCCAATCAAGCTGGCAGGAAGTTCTCATCTTTGAAGAAGTAGGAAGCACAACAGGAGTAAGCGTATGGACTGGTTGACCCAGCTACCTCTGTTTACCCAGGTGTTACGAGGAGTGGTCTGATGAGTGGTAGTAGATTTTTACCAAATGATTTGTTAGAAAATATTCCATAGAGGGCCTCATTTAGAAATGCCGAAGTGGCGCGGTGATTTTTGTCACAGGCGTGAGGGGAAGTTAAGTCCAACATGATGTGTATAAGGAGATACTCCGTACGTCACTCGGGCGCCAGTCCTTCACTGTTCTGGTTTTACGGAACCTCACGCAAGACCCCTGCAGCACGTCCTCGTCGTGCGCCACGGATAATGTCTCAAATGAGCATTAACAGAGCTGTCAGGGGATCTCGGAGCTTGGTGGCCCCCAGAGGTGATGTGTCCTTGTGGCTCTCATCAGCCCGCCCCCAAACACTTGTATGAAAAAGGTTATCAAAACTCATTAGGAACATGAGTATGCTTGCCAAAAGTACAGCTAAAAATCACAACCCTTGGTTAAAAGAATGCGGAGTGAAGAGAACATTGTTCACTGTACATCCTCTGTTAACCCTCAGTGTCGTCGTCACCGCGCTGAGGTACACCACAACAGCAACCATCCATAGGATGACCATCCATGTACATCCTCGGTTAACCCTTAGTGTCGTCGTCACCGCGCTGAGGTACACTAAAACAGCAACCATACATAGGCGGGCCAGCCATGTACATCCTCGTGTAACCCACAGTGTCGTCGTCACCGCGCTGAGGTACACCACAACAGCAACAGCCCATTGGCTGGCTAAGCCTAAATGTCCGACAAAACTAGATCCTACGGCACACGAGTGAGCTCAAAACTGACCTCCACAATTTGTACTGAACGGAAAAAGACCAAAGACCCCACTCGTCCGAGTGTTGGGACCAAACTGATAACGCTATGCATGACGCAGGATGTAAAATTCTGTCGGGCTAACGGCTCGTCAAAGAAATCTAACGTGCGAAGAAAAAAGAATGTACCTATTCGTGTGGTCGCAAAAGTCCAAAACCCACGGGCTGCTCCCCGCTGACTTCCAGAGGGCGCAGCTCTTGTCGAGCGGGAAGCCTGATACGGTTGTGAGGTTAAGCAGGCATGTGCAGGACGTGACGATTCCTTGGGTGAGCCCAGAACCAGAGCGCCATGTGCCGGCTCTGCATACATGAAAGCCTCCTTGGATGGCGAGGAATGCCCATGATCTGCCCCTGCCTTCCCTTGAGGGCTAACTGTTCCACAGGGGGCTGCCCCAAAGGGGTACTCCGGGGGCAATACCTGCGGAGAAGGAGACAAAGTGGACTCCACACAAATCAGGCAATGTCTTGACCCACACAAAACAATGGCCACAGTCAACCTAGAAATAGGCCTGACGTCTTCCTTCGAAGTCGGAGTACAGCTGCCCATGAGGCAGGGAACATTAAAACGGTTGTACATGCAAAAATCAGGTCCGGGTGAAAGCCAAAAGTCCAAGCGGACGATTAACCGCGACCTTCCGCCGGAATTCACAGCCGGTAAACGCAAAAAAAAAAGGGGGGATGCCGTTCATGGGCGAAATAAAATGGAGAAAAAAAATTATAAAATTAACAGTTCTTTCCCACTGTTAACACTATTTTGCACTTATCTTCATGCTCACTGTTCCGCACTTGTTACGTTAGGTAATGTTTTGCACAAAAACATCCCAGAAAAGATATTCATACAGTGCTAAATTCAATTTAAAAGTGATCTAGATGGCAAAAGTGAATGGAAATTAGGATGCTGAACATAAATGTGGTCCTCCTGCAACTGAGAAAATAATCGTTGACTGGCAATGGCAATTAAAAAAAAACCTATTGAAGATGCTAAAGAACTACACATGGATGATAGTTTTAACAGTGAAAATAAGTTTTCTAGATCAAACATAAGAGTTCAATAACTTCAGTAATCATATTATTTTTATTCCATATTTCTGGTCGCAAAATCGAGGTATGTCGTTCGATTCCGATTCCTTTTGAGAGAGAAAAAAATTAAGTTCGACCACTTTCAGACTGCTGCTAGCTAGCCGAGGCTAAAGTTTTAGTATTTGCGCCGTATCTGGGCTTGATGCTTCCTGTCTTCGAGTCAGACCGCTCGTTCTCTACCCTGTTGTTAGCTGTGTTCTTCTTTCCTTTTCCTTCCAGGTGTTTCCTCCTTGGTTTCAGCTCACTCTGATTTGGCCAGGCAGGTGTGTCTTATACAAAGGATCATCTTATATTTGAGAAAATACGGTAGATACCAAGAGGATCAATCATGGTGGAGTAAAATGATGATGATGTAAACAATAAAAGATGGCAGGCCGACATTCTCACCTCTAAACAATCCTGAAGGAACTGAAGGCATGCCTGGCGAAGTCGGATTAAATCAAAACGATCCGCAGCGTGTAAAATGCCAACAACATTGGAGACTTGCAGCTTCTCATCACCGCAGTAAACATGTCTGCAACATACCATACACAATAAACATGTCCACAACATACCACAGATAATAAACATGTCTGCAACACACCATACACAATAAACATGTCTGCAACATACCATACATAATAAACATGTCTGCAACATACCATACATAATAAACATGTCTGCAACATACCATACACAATAAACATGTCTACAACATACCATACATAATAAACATGTCTGCAACATACCATACATGTCACATAACCACACACAATAAACATGTCTGCAACATACCACACATAATAAACATGTCTGCAACATACCACACACAATAAACATGTCTGCAACATACCACACATAATAAACATGTCTGCAACATACCATACACAATAAACATGTCTACAACACAATACTCATAATAAACATGTCTGCAACATACCATACACAATAAACATGTCTACAACACACATCACACATAATAAACAAAATTGTATCCACTTCCATACATCAGTGTTAGCTGACTACAGCCCCCACACCACTTCTCACTCATCTGCTAAGTATCCATTTCATTAATTTCCATACAGTGTTACCTGACTACAGCTCTCACACCACTTCTCACTCATCTGCTAAGTATCCATTTCATTAACTTCCATACAGTGTTACCTGACTACAGCTCTCACACCACTTCTCACTCATCTGCTAAGTATCCATTTCATTAACTTCCATACAGTGTTACCTGACTACAGCTCTCACACCACTTCTCACTCATCTGCTAAGTATCCATTTCATCCACTTCCATACATCAGTGTTACCTGACTACAGCTCTCACACCACTTCTCACTCATCTGCTAAATATCCATTTCATCCACTTCCATACATCAGTGTTACCTGACTACAGCTCTCACACCTACCATTTCATCCCACTCATCTCAGCTAAGTATCCATTTCATCCACTTCCATACATCAGTGTTACCTGACTACAACCCTCACACCACTTCTCACTCCTCTGCTAAATATCCATTTCATCCACTTCCATACATCAGTGTTACCTGACTACAGCTGACATACCTAAGAAGCTCCCAAAAGCTGTCAGCACAGATGTCTGGTATATGATGCTCCTGCTTCTTGCCATCAGGCCCATGAAACATATTTTTGAACACTGAACTTTGCTGCACCAGAATGGACTTGTGTGCCTGTATATGTTCCTTCTTGTCTCCTATCACAAACGTGACATCACAGCCCACCTGGCTTTCCAGTTTGTGCTTGTTCTCTTCCACAATGCTCTGGGGAGAACATTATTTTTCAGAGATCTTTCAGCAAAGAACATCGATCATAATTAATTATTATATATATATATATATATATATATATATATATATATATATATATATATATATATATATATATATATATATATATATATATACACACACACATATATATATATATACACACACGCACGCACGCACACACACGTAAATTGAAGAGAAGCAGTTGTTGCGAAAGAAAAGCAATTAAATAAATGGGTAAGAATGACAAGCAGTTAGGAGAAAACAAGTTAGACACACACAAAAAAAAATTTTTTTTTAAGTAGGTTATCAGGAAACAGCAAAGAAAACAGGAATGTCGACCGGATAAATAGAAGTATCAGATAAGGTCAGAATGAGGTTTAAACACATGCACACAAAACTCCTCCTGGTGGTTCCAGGACCCCATTGGGGGCAGGGCGGGGGCTCGAGGCTGGCAACTGCCACTTAAAAAGCATGTTGTAAAAAGTGACTAATTATGGATACAGCACTCCACACATGCCCACAAAGTATGCAGTCTCCCTCAGCTGATAGTGAAGACTGGACAGTAACTATGCTGACGGCTTACTGTTTGGGCACACAACCCACAGAATCATCGGGTAGCACTAGTTACAGTTTGTGTTTTAGGTTGGGTCACACTAAGGCCCGGGGACACATTCTAGGGAATCAAACCATAGACTTCTACACTGACAGCTGCATGTGCTACAGATAAATTCATACAAAGCCCAGATAACTCCAGACAGGTTACGTGTCTCCAATGTCCTTGAACCTGTAACCTTTACCCAGGCAACACGTATGCCGTATAGGTATCCCACATATCACCATATGTAAGCTCAGACATAGCTGGGCTAGATACAGCAGGGCCCACTGATAAGGGAAATGTTCACCATCTACTTCACAAAATAGATCAAGTATGTCAGCCCTGTGTTCTGAAGTAAAATAGAACTAGTTAAATGTCTAACACACCAGAATGGAAATAAACACTAACATTATACGTCTTCTTTTTCTTTGCGGTCACAAACTGCTAACTCAAGCAGAAAGTCCTGGTTGTTTGACCACATCTTGACTTAGTCATCTTTTTAGAACTTGAGATTTTGTGTGCACATCCATTTTACAGCTCTGACTTATTTGTATACAGACTGTTGGTTCCTCGCCTCTCAAAGAGATACACTCTAATTTCAAAGGAAGCACCCCTAATAGTCTGCCTGTTACAGGATCAGTGGGTGTATTCTTGTGTTGCCCTCACAATGTGGCCCCTGGAATTCACACAAGGATGACAAACAGGAAACAAACAGAAACAAACAAAGCACACAGCCTTAGGGAGAAATCACCTGATGGGAGAAATCAACTGATGGCAGAAACTTCTTGTTAAATAAGAAAATACTTTTTATAATTGGCAAAAGAAAAAAAAAACAGCTCAGTAGAAGACGGACTGAGAAGAAAAAAAACACAGCTGTTGTGGGCAGACAAAGAAAACATAAAGTACACCAAAACTGCAATAAAATTACACTTAATCAAAGGACATAAACTAAAACAATACAGTGAAACAAATAATGTAACAAAACAGAGGTTAGATTACAACCAAGGGACAGACCTGTGTCAACTGAAGCAGTGCCCATTACAAGTTTCTCACATCAATACTTTCTCTCAAACATATTTTCAACTGATGTTTTTTTCTTCTTCAATGATTGCTCTCAGCTTATTTTGACTTTCATATTACTGTTTTAAAAAAAAAACAGTAATACTTTAACACTGTACTGATTCTGCTGTTTAAGAAATACCTTATATTGTGGTATTTCTTTCCTCTGTGAAATGACCATAATTTCTTTTTTCTTATAAATTAACTCCAAGCCCAGCTGCTGCTAACTGGCTAATGTGTGCAAGAAAAAGAAAAAGCAAAAACAAAACAAACTCTCCCCCAAAATGAAATGTCAAGTTACAATACAGAGAAGTCAAAACTGTATACACAAGGGAGATGAATGGCCATAGACCACGAGGCAGACTAAGAAGATGATGGAGAGATAATATTTAGAAAGACCTGCTAACACTTGGTGTCACCAAACTGGACGTAGAAGACCAGCCAGAGAGATTAATGGAGACAAGTGATATCTGCAGCAATTAACCTCAATGGTACTAGCCCAACATTTTTATAGACTATCAGCACTCTATGGGTGCTGTAGTTCGTATCATGCCAGCTACCTTTATGTCCGAGAATATTTCCTTCAACACATATTAGGCCAGATGACTAAATATGTGACTAAATGTATATATACATTTAAGTACAGTCCTGACAATAAAGGGGAAAGGGGTCAATGAACAACTGCTAAATGAATCAGAGGTACAAATCAATACAAGGCGACAAGATACAGTAATCACCAAAACTGAGAAACAAGACCAAGATGAGGGACAAACAGGTCCTTGAGCTTAGTTGCCAGAACACCACATGAGTTAATGGCAGACAAGTGCCAGCCAAGAGGCAGGTCAAGTGTGAGATGTGTCTGGCTACAGAGGCTCTCAAATCGTTTATCAGCCTGTAGGAGCTGTTCCTGACCCTCAGCCTCTGCCTTGGTGAGGAACAAACTATATCCTACTAGCACCCCAGAGAACAGAGTGCATGAGGTCAAAGTGAACTACAAACGACGCTCTGGATAATATGGACATCTACAGCTATGATTGAAAAAGAGATGAATTGAGACAGGACCATGTTAACTACAGGCACAATAGCCTCAAAGGAATAGGCTTCTGGCCACAGCCAATGCAGATGCAATGAACTACAACCAGAATCAGAGAAGCCAGGAACTGCCAGAAAGGAACACTGGTGTTATTTCAACACCACCGCTGATGTGTCACTGCAGAAGTCAACTGACTCTTGGAAAGGATTTGCATCTGTTAGAGTAAGGCTCGTGTTTAGACTTCTCTCAAAACCTGCTAATAAAGCATTCTTTCCAAGGGGACTGTGTTGCACAGATCTCAATCATCTTCAAACCAAAAAAAGCTAGTGGGATATGCAAGTGTAAAAGCATGAAGCAGATGTACTAACAATGAGTCAGAGTAGCAGCAAATGTGGCCAGGAAATAGATGATGTATCCACTCACCTTCTGATCGATCCAATCAACCACTCCACTGTCATCAGACAGCTCAGAATTGTTGGAGACTTTGTCCATCTTGTCACTGTGGCTGGCCTTCAGCATCCTGGATGGAGAAGGCCGAACACCTGAGTAGGTGTTCTCCACAACAACCGTTGTCGTTGGGGACGGAATGTTTGCAGGTTTGGTGGAGACCGAAGCTTGGGGAAAGTGACAGCCACAGGTGGCAAGATTTCAGTTGCTGATGGGTGGTATCACTGCAATAATAAACATGAATGTTGGTGGCATGTAAAACAAATAAAGAACAACAAAAAACAAAGGCAGTCCTATAGGAGATCATGCCAATAAGCTGTCAATGTTCTGTCTTTAAGCATGCTAAACTATGGTCTGATGAGCAGGACAAACTGTTCCCTTCTTCATGACCTTTCGTGGCGCAGTGATTTCTGTCACAGGCGTGGGGTCAAGTTAAGTCCAACATGATGTGTATAAGGGGATACTCAGGCATCAGTCCTTCACTGTTCTGGTTATATGGAACCTCATGCAAGACTACTTCTGCATGTCCTCACGGTGGGCCACGGATAAAGTCTCAAAAGAGCATTAACAGAGCAGTCAGGGGATCTCGGAGTTGGTGATCCCCAGAGGTGTAGAGTCCTTGTGGCTCTCATCAGCCTGCCCATAAATGCATGGGTGAAAACTCATTTGGAACATGAGTAAAGTCTGCTTACCAAATGCACAACTAAATGACAGATAGGACTGACGTCTTCCTTCAAAGTCGAAGTACATCTGCCCATGAGGCAGGGAAAGGCAAAAGACAGTAAAAATGGTTGTACACGCAATACTCAGGTCCTGGTAAAAGCCAAAAGTCCAAGCGGACAATCAACCGGGACCTTCCGTCAAAATTCACAGCCGGTGAAGAAGAAGAAGATTATTACCTTTTATTTCAAGACTATTTATTCCCATTGCTCACTTACAATTATCCAGCCCATCAGCTTGATGCACACTGGTTATTATTGCTAGTCATGACTTCCTGTGTGCCTTTCTTTACATTTTGGTTTATTATAAATATTTCTTTTCCTTTTGTATCGACAGATCCTTACTATTCGTTGATTACTTTCTCTTGCAGTAAGCCCAATTTTTTTTTAAACAGATTTTTCCTTGCACTGTGTTCTTTGGTTAACTAACTGACATTCCTTAGTCAAATTAGCTACAGATTATTTTCTTATCGAATCGTTTGGTTTTTTTGTATATTTATGTTGACTGCTAACTGTTGTCCAAATACTTGGCTTTTCCCTGCATAAATGTCTACAGCTGGCTATGATGGGATTACATGCCATGAGAACTCCCTATCCTGTCTTGTGACTCCTACTGTTGGTTCTTAATTATGTAGATCCTGTGTTATTGATTTATTGACTGCAGCAAAGAACTACTACTACATCCACCACCCATGAATCAACATAGCCACAAAGAAGTATCATTATGTGATTCTGATATCCAATCATTCTGCTTCAACTCCTAATTCTCCTTTGATGTGCCTACAGCTTCAAGAAGATGAAAAGATGGTGTGTTCCAGTCATCCCTAAAAGCTATACTCACTGAGGTACAGCTGCTGGTAGGGACTTCAAAAACAGACAGTTTGAGTAATAATGCTGTCACCAGACAGAGAGAGACTGAAACAGTTAAAGGAGTAAGAATTAGACAGATGACACAGACAGACAGAGATTGAAACCTACTGTCTTGTAGTCTCCCAGGATAGACAGTTTAGGAAATGGCCAGACATGAGAGAGAGAAAGAGAGGGAGAGGGAGAGGGAGGAGAGGGGGAGAGAGGGAGAGAGAGAGAGGGAGAGAGGGGAAGAGAGGGAGAGAGAGAAGGAGAGGGAGAGAGGGGGTGAGAGAGAGAGGCTTGCTGCATTGTAGGCAGACTAAAGACTTTCAAAGACTAGAGAAAGCAAACACATATAAATGCTTGTCTAAACAAAATGTATTGTGTCGCAGGCTGGATGTAACAGTGAAAGCTAATCCATTTGGAGACTTCAAGAATTAAAAGAATGGTACCCTGCCCAACTAGGCGGGGATCATGTTGGCCTCCATGCCTCCACCCAATGGGACTGGTTTGTGAAGTCTCCAGGCACAGAGGGAGATGGTAAGCTAGTGACCAAACAGTCAACACACTACACTAACGTGCAGAGAAGACAGAATTTAATAAAAGAGACTGGAGCAACGATGGGGTTATTCATGTGCAAACAGTGATCCTTCACAAGGCAATCAACCAACCACAACACTACCACAGCTCCTGACATGTAAACCCAGGCCTTGAAACCCAGTTTCTTAACGGTTTGTGTATCCATGTGACAAATCTAACTTCAACCTCCATACAGATCCTGCACTTGATCCCCCAAGTGTTGCCTTTTACATTAAGTGTCATATATATCTAACATTTCTACATTCACTGAAGCATTACATACACTGAATAGACTCTATGATTATTTCAACTGTGGTGTGGGTACTGCAAGAACTGAAAGGATATTGCATGAATTGAAAACGTTGCCCTCGTAAGTTATAGGTCTCCAAATTAACAAAGGGGAAGATACAGGGGGTGTCAAATGTAATGAAAAGAACTATAATTTGTAAACATCCAATGCAAGCTTATCTAATGCTTGGTGAAATGCCATTCTTATAGAAGTTGGCTGTTCTAGCTATTTAAATGTCACTCAATGGTCAAATAAAAGAAGACAGTGGAACCTGGCTGGTTAAGGAGACCAACAATCAATAGAGGCAGTCAGAAAGTATTTCAACACAGAAAATGTGTTCAATGCCATATGCGTCCAGAATTCACATTTGAAAATTAAGGCCATTTTATATTAAGAAACTCTGATATTGCAAATACTTAAAAATATGGTCACAGTTAGTCCACATTAACAAGTAGGACATAAGCAGTGAATGGGAGGGAGGTGGTACTGTGGTTAGCTTCAGAAACAGATGATAGGAGTCTGGATGACTGACTTTTCTCCTTTCACACAGGAAAAACATGTCCAGGTGGCAAACTGCAGTGATGAACCAGGTGGAAAAATAATGTTGAGCATGGAAGTGGGAGAGGAGAAGCTGCAGTAGACATCAAAGACAGAAGGACTTGGTGTCAGCTGGCTGAGGGTTTGTTCTCCAAACAGGAGGAAAATGCAAAAGATTTCATCAAGGCTAAACTTTCAACTGTATGCAATTACATATAAACATGGGAGGACAGTCACATTCTGTACTGGGGACTATTTATATTTTGTGAAAGCTTCAGACACATTCAAACACAATAAACAATTCTTAAGACAAACAAAAGGAGTGAGTAGTCCCATGTCTAGTACAGTTGACAAAGAGCACCATAACCGACTGACCCTGCTTTAGGCCACCATCCGAAGGTCTAACACCACAACAATCCCAAGCAGCAGCAGCAGCAGGACAAATCTCAGAGACATGTACCAGCCAGCTCTGGAGAAGTTACATTTCGGGAAATCCTACCCTAACACTGGTGGACCTTTGAAGGTTGGAGAGTGGGGGAAAGGGGAGGGGGGTTGGAGACGGTCTGATCCATTTGTTCCCTTTAGGCTTTTACCTGAAGCTTTACCATCTTAAGATTTATTTTAAAAATCTCAGTCTGGCTGGCAGGTGGAAAGAGTAGATTCCAGACACCCCACTGAACCTTGAAAACAAGCTATCATGATGGCAGCTGTACTGGCTCCACAAGCCCACCAGAGTAACCTGCAGACCCGTGCAGGGAAGGATCTGGCCACCACCGGCTCCAGCTGACCTAGCTGCTGCAGGTATATGACTACTGCCGCACATACAGCGGACAAGAGTGCAGAACTGAGCCTGGTCCACTAGCAGCTGTTTTCCTGCACCTGACCAGAGCGGCCCTGCACATCTGACATCTCCCATTTACTCCTACCACGCTCTGGCAGCCAGCAGGACGCCACCAAGTCATCTTGGGGGATGGGGGGGAAACAGCAATTTTTAGTTTTCTAGGTTCTTTGCCCAAGGGGATTAGGCCGTAATTAAGTGTGCAAGTATTACTATTATCATTATTATATTGTTATTAATATTATTATTGTGTCCTGAATCTAAAAAATATAATAAAATGTGTCAAATCACGTGAAATAAAAAAAGCCTTGACAAGAGAAGATATATACGTGGTTAGGAGACCACTGGACCTCCTTGCAAACTTTCTAGAGGTTGGAGCTCAGCCCTCACACCCCTCCCCCCACCTAAGAATGATTGTTGGAGACTCAATGTGCTCGATCCTACAGGTACTAGCGCCTATGGCAACCTGTGCGCTCAATCAATTACTATAATGATCGTTTACTTACGGCACTTATGCATCGCTGTGATTATCTCTCTTGATTCAGCTGTAGCGTCCCACAATAAGTGTCACATCAAATGTAAACGCTACCAAGTACTGGGAAGTAAAGGCGACGGGCCACTGGCGTGACAATGGATCCTTTACTTGTTAACTACGGAGTGGGCCCGGAAAAATTAGACTTGGTCAGTATGCTCTGGACAAATGGAAGAAGTAACACATGACATTAGAAGCAGACGGCTGCGTGTGCTGGGATGAATCCAATAGTTGAACTAATTGAGTAGAGCTTCAAGTGGTAACAGTAATTTCAGACGCAATACTTTAGTTCGATTAATACAAGACAAATGTCATCCCATGCCAGAATACAAGCTGAACGACTGCAGCCATTCTATGCGCCATCTGACATATCGAGAAGGCCGGCCACTCAATCGGCACATACTGGCCGCAGTATACTCTAGCATAATACAAGCAATGCAGGTCTGGTAGCATTAGACTTACCTGTGTGTATATATATATATATATATATATATATATATATATATATATATATATATATATATATATATATATATATATATATATATATTACACTGGTGGCTATGACAAGCGTTTCATTGCAGTGTCTACTGTAGAGTGTCAGCGTTCTTATATTTTATTGTAACGGTGCTGCTTATTCGTTTGTCAGTGTTTAGTTGTCATTACCCAAGAATGTCACCTCCATTAGGCTTCCAGTGTGTCTTGTAAAGCTTTTAAACTGCAGTCAAC